GGTGTTTCCAGGTCTTCCCACAGAGAGGTAATGTATCAGAGTAAATAAGTTCTCATTTCAACAAGATAGTTCTGTAAACTGACTGGTATTTGACTTTCATTTTGAATCAGTGAAACCTCCCGAGACCATAGTAAACAAATAAGACATAAGAAAAGGCAATAAAAACATTATTTTATCTACATGTGAATGAAATAAAGAGTATTAGTGTTAGTATCATTCTATAGCACCATGACATCAAAACCCCTTCCTGCTTTTATAGACATTAATCCTGACAGGGGTCAGAGCTCTATAATGGAAAGTTAACAAAACACCTGCCCAAAGTGACCGGGAATGTAAAGTAAACAATCTCTGCATAGCTGGACAGAATAGGTTGAAGGGTGTTTGATGGGATGAGTACACAAGGTGTCACGCCCACCCACAGAGTGCCACACCCACCCTGCTTGGCCTGTACATATACAATGAAGAGAAAACATGGAGACTGTGATCAGGTATCACTGTGTCCTTGAGTTACCTTGTGTTCTCTCAGGGCTCCAGATAAATTTGTTTCAACATTAGGAGTACGTACTCTGTATTTTTAAATAATATAGGAGTACTGGAAAAACTTGAGGGTACATTTAGAGTACTGAATGGATATTAATGGAGTATCAGTAATCTTATGCTTCGTTTCATATATGCACCACAACATTGCTACTCTTGTGTAAACGGGTCAGTGAACAATAAAAAAATACTTTTTCAGATAAATACGTCGGTAAATGATTCTAATACCATACACCATTGTTGTGGTGCGTATCTGCTACGTTTTCTAAACTATTTACGCCCAGAGAGCGGAAGGTCGCGGGTTCGATCCCCGACCGCGTCTTACCAAAAGATGTTAAAATATGGTACTTGTTGGTCCCTGTCTGGCGCTCGGCATTAATGGGTACTTCAAGGACTGGTCGGCTCAGAGTCAGTATAATGTGTCTGAGTGGGGTATTCATGCTTCACTGCGGCATGGTATCTCAGTGGGCTAGTACAAGCAGCCGCACATACACACGCTTGCACATCGTCATATGTGCGAAATATTCTCAAGCACGACGTAAAACCCAATTTCACCTCACCTCACCTCACAACTATTTCCTACCGTATCATGCATATTTATCATCCGTACATACGCCCCTTATCTGGAGCCCTGGTTCTCTATCTCAATAAAATCATCAGGGGCAGTGGGACAGGAACGTGGTTAAAGTGTTCGCTCATCACACTGAAGACCTTGGTTCGATTCCCCACTGGGTACAGTGTGGGAAGCCCATTTCTAGTGTCTCCTGCAGTGATATTGTTGTAATATTGCAAAAAGCATGTAAAACTAAACTCACTCAATAAAATCAAGAAACATATGCACCAATTCATGAGTGAGAAGGGTTTAATGTCGTTTGTAATGGTTATACAACTGGCTACTGTGGCAGGAATGCCTGAGGTAATGGAGGTCACATATAGTTATCAGTTTGGAGACATCCAGGAGAAAAGGTATGGTGCCATGAAACCTTGAAACATAATCAGGGCAAGGATTTGAACCCATAAAAGTCTCTGGCCTGCCAAGGGTATAGCAACTTATTATTTATACTGACTTGACAAAGATTTTAAAAGTTCAAAAACAGTTTCAACTAAACCCTTATTATTCAGAGCATTATAGGTTCAGCATATAAAGGTCAATTCCTTGGGAAGATATGTGTTTTTATTTGGTCAGTACATGCTTTTGGATTAAATATATTATTTGTTTAATTGATTATTTAGATAATGTCAGTATTCATGATTCAAAGGAAGTACTGTATTTAAAGGATACTGGGATGTTATGCTGTTTACATATACATATAACTGGTGTAACATTGGATCACAATTCTGTCACAATTTTGTTGAGCAGTAAACGGTTGAAAATTGGCGGGCTGATTCAAACTGGCAAGAACATGACCGCCATCAACCCTCCTGACAAATCCTACTTGGAGTCACCTATGGTCAGAGATGATGATGGAGGAGGAGATTGCTTGCTCATCAGCATCAGCATCATTGTCTTCATCAACAACATCAGTCAGGGTTCAATAAGTCACCGATGTACTGTTGTGTCACAATGGGAACTTATCACCTGGGCGATATCAGGATTATATCCTTCCTGCTTGGGAAGGTAATTTTACAGGGTAATATATAATTTGTATCTTCAAGTTTTGGCAGTCACATCACCACACACTTGATATGAAGAATGTAAGCTCTTCACAATAGAGACTGTCATGTATATGGACCATTCTGTATTCAATTATCACACACTCTTGCGTGAAACAATGACACTGGGACACATTGTCACAGTACTTTGTCCATGTTCACTGCACATTGCTGTACCCACAACTAGGTGTTTACACGTATTCCTCATTTCATGTGGCCACCATCTGGTCATATACCAACGGATTTGTGGGTTCTTTTAAGTGCACAGGGTTGTGTACTGTACACTAGGGGTTGTGACAACACTGAAAGAGTCTGCACACAAAGTTGTCTCCAAGGTTTTTACACCCAGTCACAGGTGGGCTCGATCCCGACACCTCAACCTCACTGGATCACTAGCCTGGTGCCTGAGCCAGCTCAGTTTCATGTAATTTACCAACGGATTCGTGGGTTCTTTTAAGTGCACAGGGTTGTGTACTGTACACTAGGGGTTGTGACAACACTCAGGCATGGTGGGTTGGGGATGGGGTTGGGTTTGGAGGTGGGGTTGGGTATAGGGTGTGGTTGGGGTTGGGTATATGGTGTGGTCTGGGTTGGGTATAGGGTATATGGTATATGGTGTGGTTGGGGTTGGGTATAGGGTGGGGTTGGGGTTGGGTATAGGGTGTGGTTGGGGTTGGGTATAGGGTATATGGTGTGGTTGGGGTTGGGTATAGGGTGTGGTTGGGGTTGGGTATAGGGTGTGGTTGAGGTTGGGTATAGGGTATATGGTGTGGATGGGGTTGGGTGTAGGGTGTGGTTGAGGTTGGGTATAGGGTATATGGTGTGGATGGGGTTGGGTGTAGGGTGTGGTTTGGGTCACGTGGGGTATGGTGGGGTGGTCTAACTCCATGATCCTTCTTCCCAGGTTTGCCAAAGCAGAGGCCCTAGAGTTACCACTGAATCGATGTTATGACTTATACGGACAACATAACTTATTGCACTTTATAAACCAAAAGTTTACCTACATGGAAACTGATGTTAAAGTTGATTAAAGAAATGTCTCATAGTTCCATGTTTGTTGAGACAAGGTTTTGAATTAAACAGATTTTAGCAAATTTGTATTTGACAAAACCATTTTCCTGTCAAGAACATATTGACTGTGGTTACATTTGTATCAAAGAACACAATCATGGAATGGGTGAACTGTGCGTCTGTGCCAGGACAAAATTGTTATTTTTTTTTTTTTAGGTATTGAAAATATTTTTGTTAAACAGAATTGTGAAATCTTGAATGATAAATGGGTAACTTTTACCTCCATGTGCTGCAGCACTGGGGTCAAATATCGGCCTCTGAGATTTTCTAGATCAATGTCAATCAATGTCAATCATTATCCCATCATTATCAACATCTTCCACAAAGTTGATCTCAGTCCTCTCTAACTTAGGACCGTGCCGACATCACTGCACGTCTCAGCATGCAGATGGTCACAACAGTACAGTCCCATCAGTCACAGCAGTTGACAGGGAAATAGCACGCTAATTGACCAATCATAGAATGCTGTATTGATTAGTAGTAGACACAGTAAACACACTAACAAAGACTAGTCCAGTAGATCTGACAACACTTCCATCACAGATGTCAAAAATAAATTGTACAAATTAACTGTATAATTACTTTATGATGTTGTGATGTTTGTTGGTTGCTGGTCTTAGCAATATCCAAGCTATATGACAAAAACCTGTTATATAATCTATTTGAACCTGAATTAGACAATCCAATGATTTATATTGTGCGATGACATGAAATCAAGAAATCAAGTCACTCACTCACTGACTCAAGTCACGAAGCCTGACCACCCAACTTCTTAAAGTTGCATTTTACAACAAGCTGGGGACCCGTTTCCATCTCCTCAGATCGTCAGTTACACAAATAGTGAGTGAGTGAGTGAGTGAGTGAGTGAGTGAGTGAGTGAGTGAGTGAGTGAGTGAGTGAGTGAGTGAGTGAGTGAGTGAGTGAGTGAGTGAGTGAGTGAGGTTTCATGTCACTTTTAGCAATATTCTAGGAACCTTAGGCAGGCGTCGCCAGAAATGGGCTTTACACATTGTACCAATGTGTAGATTCAAAGATGTGTCTTCAGCATTTAACGACTAGGCTACCAGCCTTTCACCAGATGAAGGGGCAAGAGGTAACACCTGCATCATACTGTACCTTATAGACTGACTGACTGAGTTTAGTTTTACGCCGCTTTTAGCAATATTCCAGCAATATCACGGCGGGGGACACCAAAAATGGGCTTAACACATTGTGCCCACTGTACCTTATAGAGAGGACTGATATAGATTTGCAATAATGACCATGTATACATGGAAAAAGAAAGAAGTTGGTACCTGCAGTACTCCTGTCAGAACCACGATAGCTATGTCCAACTTCAATGTACCTATAAACTTGATAAACACTCTAACTGTGAGTGTGAGTGAGTGAGTGAGTATGGTTTAACACTGCTTTTAGCAATAATCGAGCAATATTAGGGCTCTGAACACGAGAAATGGGCTTCACTTAAATGCTACCCATGTTGGGAATCCCCGTGTCTTTAGTGTTAAGAGTAAACTGGATGCACAGATAACGATTGGTCATAATCTGTAAGGTATCAGCAAGAAATCACAAACTATATATATATATATATAAAACAGCACTATAGATACTAAAACACTGAAATCACCCCCACCCCTACCCCCAACACACACACACATCTATATTAAGCTAGAACAGTTTTTTTTGAGTAAAGTACTATGATACCTATCAGTACTGAAGTAATTGTATGAAGGTCTCACCAATATCGTCAAACCCCAGCTGTCTTCGCCATAGTTCTTGACGTGACGGTGATGGAACGGGTTTGTTGCCGACAAGACGAGGGCTGTAAGTCATCGGAGTGCGGAACACAGGTTCTTGCTTCTATGAAGAGAACAAAAGTTTACATTAATTTGTGACAAGTGAATGCTATTTGAGTCATATATAATGAACAGGCTCAGTATGTCTCCTCAACGCAGGATGAACTGAACGAAGGGTAAGTCCCAAGATGACCTGGTTCATAGACAATTACCACTTTGAGAATGGGTCCCCTACAAAGTTGACTTGCCTTTAGCATGTTTGTTATCCATCAATGTTCTTATTGTTTTGTCCCTATGATCATAATCACAATATTATTTGTTTCAGATTGAAGTGCCATAAAATCTGTTTTCCTTTCACATAGGTTGAAAGAGTTATCTCCCTTCTCATATGGAATACAAGAAGGGGGTGAACACAGAATACTGAACATACATTCAATGAGGAGAATTTGAAAATAATAAGTTATTCATATTTTACAATTATATTGCTAACACATCATTCATTTCTTTTTAGATTATAGTCAAAGGTGACTAATTGGATTGGATTTTCAGGTGGGATGGGGTTCCTAGGTCAGTCGTCCATAGGACAGGCGATGCTACTCATCATATACAATCACTTTGTCCAAAGTGGATCACCTACTTATACACTTAGTGATCCCATATGCTTATGTGACTAAACATCCCCTAATAAATATTCAGATAACCAACTAGCTGTGTATATTAATTTTGAATATTCAGAACAGCAATCACAGAAATCATTTGTTGGTGCACTTCAAGGCAAAGGCATTGTAGTTAATTTCTTGTTTGTTGATTAGTTTAGATAGTTAACCAGACAAGCTGGCACTTGAATAAAAGTATTAAGCTTGACACAAATTTGTGGTGACTGAAGTGAAACTTATATAGTTACCCTGCCACCCACTTTTCGTTAAGAAATAGATATATAAAGAAATATTATTATGTACATCCTGAAACTCATAAGTTTATATCATTGATGAATAATTCCAGTGAAACACATTTAGAAAGATTGTCCATATATATTCACAAAGCTTTTATTCTCAGAAAGAATGTTCTACTACCCACACATGACTAATTAATGCACTACAAGCCTGTGGCTTTCAGTATGAAATAATTGATTGATTGATTGACACCCACAGACTCATTGAAAGGTCTATACTCTTGATGATATGACTAGTGCATTATCGTTTGTATGTTGCACTCAGCAATATTCCAGCTATATGGCGGCAATCTGTAAATAATTGTGTTTGGACCAGACAATCCAGTGATCAACATCATGAGCACTGATCAATGCAATTGGGATACGATGACATGTGTCAACCAAGTCAACGAACCTGACCACCCGATCCCGTTAGTCGCCTCTTATGACAAGCATGGGTTGCTGAAGACCAATTGTAAGTCTGGATCTTCACAGGTCACTAGTACATTATTAGTGGTAGATCCACTCCTGTGACCATCATAACATGGTAATGATAGATAATGATAGATAGACTTAGGTGATGTACTTTGGGAAATAAAAATACATTTAAAAAAAGAAAGAAAAAAAGATAGACTGAGCTGATTGAAGTAGATGGCAGTGCAACTTTAATACATGATGACAGACCCATTAAGATCTGTCCGTTGCATGGCCTATTGTACGCTGCCGGTACCAGTAACAAGGACATAGTTCCCCATCCTTCCATGAAAATCATAGTGGGATTAACAAGACAAAATATTAAGACAATTGCTCAGGCCCATTTGAATTTAAAGACCTACATAACTATATTTACACTAAAGCTACTTGTTTACTAGGGATGCAACAATACATCGATGCATCGATACTTTTCTAAGACGATACAATTATTGATACATTCAAAACTGTATCGATATTTACTTTTGAAAGTATCGGTTAAAATATGTTTATGTATCGTTTACACTTTTGCAATTGTAATATTAACATTCAAAATGTAACTAAATTTACGCAATAATGCTGTGAAAATACGTATCGTGATATATGTCAAATCGTGACATGGATATCGTGATACATATCGATTCATGAAACTTATGTATCGTGACATCCCTATTGTTTAACCACTATTGTTGGGGAACAATTGTCATGGTTAATGCATATTTACCTTCATTTTGGGTGTGCTGGACAGCATGTTTGTTGAGCAGTATCACAGACAGTCACGGGGAATCACAGAAGGTCACAGAAAGACTGGTAATGGGTAGTGGATGGGTATCACAGCTTCACTGAAAGCATGAAAAAATGTTACATTCAGGTATTTTTAGGGTTTGCTTGTTGGGGGTGGTGGTGTTAGGATAGGGTCGGTCGTATAACCTAAGCGGACACTTCTCTGCAGAGAGAGGTGTAACATCCTTGACTGCTTTGCCATTTGCGCTCCACATAACTGTGACTCATGAGTGTGAGCACGATCAAACCTTCAGTGATATACCTTCTCTGACTAGTTTATGATAAAATACTAGGAATGAAATTTTAGTATTAAATGTCCTTCAAATATATCATGTTACTTGAACTTACACACTATCATTTTGGTAACATTTCTCTAAATGGGTAATATTTCAGGCACAGGAACAATATAAGCAGTGGAAAACATTTTTTGAAGTGAGTGAATGAGTGAGTTAAGACTTTAAATCAGCCTGACAGAATTTTAGCTATATATCGTTACTAAAACAACTTATAGATTCATAATAAAGTTAAAAATAATTATTATAAAAGACCAACAAAGCACAGTAAAACAATTAGAAGATCACAGATAGAGATATAAAACTAGTTGTGAAAATCTAAAAAATCTTACTATAGAATATTAAAAATATAATATAAAAATAGGCTATATATTTTTTTAAGTCATTGTTGTAAGTGTGTAATAAAACATATTGTGGGAATTTTTTTGTTCCAACCAGTCTGGGAGTTGATGTCATGAAAGTATTATGTTGACTATGCACAGGGCACAGTTAACTCCATGCTGAACAAATGTATTCAGTCAACTGCTTTTCACTTAAATGCTGTACCATAGATATTCATTATTTTCTGTTTTCAACATATTAAGCATTCCGGGAATTAGATAGTATAGATTAGACAAACATTGCACTTAGGTTTTTGAGTGAGTGAGTTAAAATCTAACGTCAATATTTCATCATATCGTGACGAGACACATTTATCATGTTTATACATAAATAGCTCATTTCTATAAACTGTACAAAAGCAAGTTGTTAACAAAACCCATTAAAATAACTAGATTATCACACATTTGTTAAACCTACCTTAAGGAAAAGTAAAATAGTAGACTAAGAATTAATGATAAAAATTGGCACGAGATTTGTAGCAACGGCTGTTAAGACTTTTATGACTGACTGACTGAGTTTGGTTTTACGCCGCTTTTAGCAATATTCCAGCAACATCACGGCGGGGGACACCAGAAATGGGCTTCACACATTGAACCCATGTGGGGGATCGAACCCAGGTCTTCAGTGTGACGAGCCAATGTTTTAACCACTAGGCTACCCCACCGCCCCACTTTTATGAGATCTAAAACCAGCAGCAGTGGAGATGTCACCCATCAGTACTCCCACTGATGGAGATATCAATTCTCAAATATACAGTTTGAACATGGTATCACAGTAATATCATTCCATGGGCAGATCCAGAAGGGGGGTGCAGGGATGCACACCTCCCTTTTTGTCCTGAAAGTTTATTAAATGACCATTGAAACTTGGGTGAAAATGAAATGTGCACCCTCCCTTTTCTCAATAGTATGCACCCCCACTTTCTAAAAAAGCTGTGTCTGCCCCTGCATTCCCCACCAAACAAATTACCTGCTTGTCTTGTTCTACTCAGGTTCCGGTGTCTTCATGGTTCTGAAAACAATAAGACTGATGTATAACAGCCATATTTCTGTTTATACATGTCATGTATGTAACAAACTCTGAACACATGAACAAAGGGTCACGCTGTTGTTTTAGTAACAGGAGCTATACAAAACCACCTTGGTTGTATACCCCAAGCCTTGTTATTTTAAACATATTAAGTCAACAATAAGCATTAACAATAGGATCAGATTGTAAGGATCACAATGTGACTACCTAAAGCTGACAGTTAACCTCATACAGTCCATTAATCAGGACTCGCAAGTTACACAGGTTAATGACAGACAGAGCACCACTCCAAACAACCGTGACACTGACTTCTACTCTGAAGCAGCTGCAGCTGACATGAAGAATCAGGTCCTTCAAAGGCATTTAGAAGTGATACACAAAAGGAACAGAGGTTTATGGATGTTCACTTCTTTATAATGAGGAATATAACGTTTCAGAGTATATACTTACTTTGTGTTGCTTCCATAAAACTGAACTTCATAATAAAGAAGTTGACATCCATAAACTCCCTTCCCGACAATGAGAATGTTAGGAATACTTGAATAAGCATCAATAGTTTATATATGAATACACAATTCCTTTTAGAAAGTGGTCAATGTAACATATGTTATTATTTGGGATTACACTTTCTCAGTAAAGTACAAATTCTAGCAGTTTTGTTGGGTTGAGTCCCATCAGGAATTTAGGGGTGTGCTAGTGACTAGGTGCCTGACTCTGAGGGTGTGGGTTGGAATCCTGGATGGGACTCAACCCAATGAAAGTACTAGAATCTGTACTTTACTGAGAAAGTGTAATTCCCAATTTAACATATGGTAAGTTTATGAAAGTCTGTTCAGCGTGGTCCTACGGTGTTGAAGCACTCGTAAAATCTCCAATAAGGTGGTCAAAGGTCCCATGTTTTTCAAGGCATTAAATGTTTCCAGACTGGTAGTTGTATTTGTTCCAGTTTTAATCAATGTTCAAAGAACCATGTATCCATTACCAGTAGATTTTGTGAACATGCACAAATCAAACATGGTGCAGGTGTGTTTCAGCACCCTTGTTTTTCGTGGTTTTTAACAATGTTTCATTTCACTCAAACTCAACGAATATTGAATCAGTTGCTTCACTGCATGTTCCAACATGTCGTTTAAAATGCCCATTAAGCACACAAAAAGTTGCATTTACCTTAGAGTATAAATGACCTCACCACGTTTCAGTTTATGTATGACTATCAAATTTTAGGGTGTTCCCATATTTTTTGTTTGTAGTATATTACCCCTGGTCAACGAGTACAGAACACTCCCTGTGGAGAATACAACCGGTCATCTGTCAGACGCTCAAGGTTCAAATTCAGACTACCATCGTATCATACCAGGTACCCAGTTTTACTGCTGGGTGGACAGAGGCAAGTTAGAACAAACTCACTTGCCTAAGGTGAGACCACATGTATGACATATGCTTCGTTGTGGGGCAGGACTGAAGTCCTAGAAACTCTCAGGAGACAAGCTGCCAAACACGGTCACCCATCCGAGGACTGTCCGCGACCACCGTTGCTTAACTTCAACTGATTGTGACCTGAGCTCTACGCACAGGACCACACACCGCCACAAAAATATCCTTAACTTTGAAAGCATTATAATTTCTTTAAGTGGCATTTAGAAGCTGGTATGATGAAGAATAATAATTTTTTAATGGATAGACAACTTTCGTTATTGCAACAGATGCGACGTTTCGGTGTAGATGCTAACACCGTTATCTTGATAAAAGTCAACATCACATCCATTGAAGTAAAGAAGTTGTCTATCCATAAAAAATTGTTCCTCTGAGAATTATCATGATTATTCAATCATAGTTTTGTCCACTTAACATTAGACCAGGAGTTTATTCAAGACAGGATTATTTTCATTTTGGTGTGTTGGTTGAGCCAGCGCTTATTCAAAACAGATGGTCATCAAAGGATCTACGATATCTTATTGACTGACCGCCTCAGTGGTGTAGTGGTTAGAGCGTCCGCCCAGAGAGCGGAAGGTCGCGGGTTCGATCCCCGACCGCGTCATACCAAAAGACGTTAAAATATGGTACTTGTTGGTCCCTGTCTGGCGCTCGGCATTAATGGGTACAAGGACTGGTCGGCTCGGAGTCAGTATAATGTGTCTGAGTGGGGTATTCATGCTTCACTGCGGCATGGTATCTCAGTGGGCTAGCACTATAAAACCAGCTTAAGTCTGGGCTAGTACAAGTAGCCGCACATACACATACACACGCATGCACATGGTCATATGAGCGAAATTCTCAAGCACGACGTTAAACCCAACTTCACCTCACCTCATTGATTGGACTGTTGTGCTCAAAGAATAGCAATGTTGTTTAGAATGTCATTCTTGATTATATTAAAGCATGTGGCAGCTTTGCTACTTTATATAAGTTTAGAAACTTAGCAAACCTTTATGATGGGCGAGGTGTAAATGGGCCCTGTTGCCCGAACACCAATTACTAGTACATTTTTATTTATCTATCTATCTACGGCATGTCAACACAATGATATTCTTAGTCGTGGTACAATATGTTCCTCAAAGTTCATATCACAAAACAACACATGAGAACTCATGTTTCAAATTGGCATTGTTCCACCAGGAGCAGATCACAGGGAATATGGATAAGACAGAGCTCCAACCAAAACATATAACAGTAACTAGATACATCCAAAATATGAGTGAGTTTAGTTTTATGCTGCTTTTGACAATATAACAGCAATATCACGCCCAACACACCCCAAATGGCCATCTTCAACATGATCAAAGAGAACAATTACCAAGAGGCGTGGAGACTATGCTGCAAAATGTAAAAAAAAGGCATTAAAACTAACACCATGAGGTGAGGTGAAATTGGGTTTTACGTCGTGCTTGAGAATATTTCGCTCATATGACGACGTGCATGCGTGTGTATGTGTGGCTGCTTGTACTAGCCCAGACTTAAGCTGGTTTTATAGTGCTAGCCCACTGAGATACCATGCCGCAGTGAAGCATGAATACCCCACTCAGACACATTATACTGACTCCGAGCCGACCAGTCCTTGTTGTACCCATTAATGCCGAGCGCCAGACAGGGACCAACAAGTACCATATTTTAACGTCTTTTGGTATGACGCGGTCGGGGATCAAACACGCGACCTTCCACTCTCTGGGCGGACGCTCTAACCACTACACCACTGAGGCGGTCACTAACACCATAAAGAATTTTACAATTTAGTAATCATGCCTCCTATCGCTTGACACTC